CGACCGAGGTCTGGGCACCCGGGCCTGGCCGCGTCCCGGGGACTGCGCGGACGCGAGCGAGGGCGCAGCCGGGCGCGGGGGTCTGCCCGGTACCGGGGGACCCAGCACAGACTTCCCAGAAACGGGGGACCCAGGACCAGGGGACCTGGCACCAGGACCTAGCTCCAGAGGACCCAGCACTGGGGACCCACACCGGGCTGTCCAGTATCGGGGGACCCAGCACCAGGGGCCCAGTACCGCTACCCAGCACCACCAAGCTTCCCAGCACCCGGGGACGCAGCACAACTAAGCTTCCCAGCACCAGGGACCCAGCACCACCAGGCTGCCTAGCACAGGGGACCCAGCATCGGGCTGCCCAGCACGAGGGGACCCAGTACCGGGAGACCCAGCACCTGGGATCTGGCACCAGGGGACCCAGCACCAGGACCTAGCTCCAGGGGGCCCAGCACTGGGGGGACCCAGCCAGTGCTGTGGCTTCGGAGGACACAGGCAGGAACACTCACAGGTAAGGATGCCAGTGACCTGGATGATTTTTATGTGTAATTTCACAATCACTGAAAATTCCAAGTTAAGGACTGGCACTTAGTCAATCATTAAACTGACGCACCTGCTTAGTAATGTTAAAAGTTGGTGCGTGAAGTAGATGTTCCTCACAGGCTGTCCCCAAGCTGTGTCATGGCTAACCATATCTTGGCCACTGCACGTTAAGTCACTGGTGGAAGGATGGTTCCGACCAGGTTAAGCAGCCCAGCATGAAAAGACAAAAGCCACAGCAAAGAGTCCCTGTTCTTTCTCACCCTTGCTGGAGGGGCTGAGAATCATTTTTAAAAGGAGGGGCATGGGCTCATCCTCACAGTGTTCATCACTGCCCGTGGCACCCCGGAGGAGGGGTCGCAGGGGGCGGGGAGGCTGCAGGGTGGTCCTGCCTTGGTGGAGGCCCTGGGCCTGGTTACAACTTCATTTTATGGTGGTCAGTTCCGGACCAGACTCCGGCTAGGACACTGTCTTTACCATTTCGTCTTCTCTTCACCCCAGGCCTAACAAGCAAACACTCAATCCCACTAACAAATGAGGGGTTAGGGCCCAAGGGTCCAGGGACTTGCCCAAGGTCTCTGCTAGAAGGTCTTGAGCCTCCTCTGACACCTTTAGTACCCGTGGCACTGGAGTGTCTGTTCTTGAGAAGAATGACCAGCTCCTCTGTGTTTCATTTTGTGGCCCTCGCTGGGCTCGGCTCTGCACGCTGGGCTGACCATGGCCATGGCTGAGCACCTGGTCTTCTCCCTCCTTCAGTGTGGAGACAATGCCAAAGCTGCGGGGCTTTGAGTTCTGGAGCTGTACCCTGCAACGGGCCCGCCATGTGGTGGCCCCCATGGTGGACCAGAGTGAGCTGGCCTGGAGGCTGCTGAGCCGCCGCCATGGGGCCCACCTCTGCTACACGCCCATGCTGCATGCCCAGGTATTTGTGCGGGATGCCAACTACCGGAAGGAGAATCTGTACTGTGAAGCGTGCCCTGAGGACCGGCCCCTCATCGTGCAGGTGGGCAGGAGACTGTGGCTGCCAGTGCCATTGCCCTGGAACACCTGGTGAAGCATCCTTCCCTCTGCATGGGGATGTCACCTTCAGCCATGGGAAGAAACAGCTTCCCAATTCTGGGGGGAGGGGGATGGGCATGTGGCACCAACACAGCTGCAGCAGAGATTCCATGGAGCTGCTGGGTGCACCCCAGGGCTGACCCCCTTCCTGGGTGATGGGAGAGATTCACAGCCCCCCACTCAAGGTGATGAGAAAGGCGGCTCTGCTCATGGGAGGTGACAGCAGCAGCAGCTTCTGTTACACAGCAGAAGTCCTGTCAGCCTGCAGCTCTCACCTGGCAGTCCCAGCTCTGTCTTGTTGTCAACATTGGCAGGACCAGATGCTATCCTACAGTGAACCTGGGGCCACAACCCCATCAGGTCACCCTGGAACCCCTAGTAGGGCTGGGCAGCCTGGGACCAGAGCCTGGCCCAGCTTGTGGGTGACTTCTATGTCCTCTCTAGTTCTGTGCCAACGATCCAGAGGTATTTGTCCAGGCAGCTCTCCTGGCCCAGGACTACTGTGATGCTGTCGACCTGAACTTGGGCTGCCCACAGATGATAGCCAAGAGAGGTGAGCTCAGGCCCAGGGTTTTGTGGTACATGCCTGCCGAGGCCCAGTGTGTTGGGCCTGTGGGTGCTTGGGTGGGGAGTCCAGGGCCGGCTCCCTTGTGGCCGGGGTGGGTGAGCTTGGGGGAAGGCTCTGATCCCAGTGGCAACTTAGGCCAGCAAGCTGGCCCTTTCTCTCCTCCTTCTGGAGGTTGCTGTTCTCAGGCACCCGGGCTGGGGGCTGGGGCCGAGCTCTGCTGGTGCAGGCAGGGGGCCAGTCATGCCCCCTCTGGGCCCATGTGGTTTGCTGACATGAAGCTGCTGCCAGCCCCTTATGCTGCCGTGTGCATGCATGTGGGGCTCAGCTTTTCTCCTCTCTGGGCCCTTGAGGTGCTGGGGGTGGTCCGCTCAGCGCCTTTTGAGCTTGGCAAACAGGCCCCATAGTCTGGCACTGACCAACTGCTTGACTCCATGATTATGCCCTGCCCCAACCAGACACTGCTGCTTCTGGGGACCCTGTGGTGCCGGCTGCAGGGAGCCTTGGCACTTGTATGGATGCAGGAGGAAAGGCGGGCCACATGAGGGGCAGAGGCAGCCTTGGTCCTTCCTGGCCTTGCCATGGGTGCCAGAGGGGCCATGCTTGTCCTTTGCAGGTCACTATGGTGCCTTCCTGCAGGAGGAATGGGACTTGCTCCAAAGAATGAGTGAGTTGTCCACGAGCCACTGTGTGGCCAGTGAAGGGGCCCTAGAGAGGTATGGCAGGAGCTTGGTGCTGGCCACTTGGCTAGGACCCAGGAAGGACTGTGGCCAGCAGAGCATCCCGAGGTCACTCAGGAGCCTCCTGGCCACAGTGCTCTCCCTGCTGGAAGAAGGTGGCTGTGAAGAGTTGCTGTCCTGGGCCAGCTGCCCCCTTAGAGCCAGTCAGTCAGTGCTGAGGCAGCGTCTGAGCTTAGTGCCAGCCCTGATGCCTGGGAGATGGAGCCTCAGCTGCCATTGTGTGGGAGCTGGTGTCTGTCGCTTGTTGCATGAATGTGCAAGGACAAAGGAAAAGGCCGAGGGGACCTGCCCAGCAGCCTGAGCGTAACCACCCGGGTGACAGCTAGAGTGCCCCTGGCAAAGCTGATGCAGCTCGGCCGTCCACAAGGGGCCTGGACCTCAGGGGCTTTACAGGCTGGAGTGGGAGCCCCCCGCTTCCCTCAGGAGCCATCTCTCCTCCCCAGTTCTGCTGGCCCATGAGAAACTCTCTGTTCCCATCACGTGCAAAATCCGTGTCTTCCCGGAGATCGACAAGACCGTGAAGTACGCTCAGATGCTGGAGAAGGCCGGCTGCCAGGTGAGGGCCCAGGGCTCGAAGGCGGGTCAGGCAGAGCGGGGCTGGGCCACCACCTGGGTGGGGCCAGAGCATCCGCTAGGCCCACATGAGCCGGGGCCACATGAGCCAGGCTCAGGACAGGCTTCCCTCTGCCTTGCATGGGGAGCTGAGAAACTGAGGGAGAGGGTCCCCCAGAGTTGGTCTGCGGGCTTCAGCCAGGGGCAGGGTAGAGGGTTGAGCCAGCACTGGTCTGTGCTAGTTGCTGACTGTGCATGGGCGCACCAAGGAGCAGAAGGGGACCCTGTCGGGTGCGGCATCCTGGGAGCACATTGAGGCTGTGCGGTGAGTGAATGCGGCTGCCAGTCCTTCGGGCTTCGTGGGATGGGGGTGGGGGGTAGACCCAGCTCCACACCTCAGGGTACTCAGCACACTTGGCCCCCTGCCAAGATAAGAGTTTTGGGGCTGGTCCCACTGTGCTAGTTGCTGACTGTGCATGGGCGCACCAAGGAGCAGAAGGGGACCCTGTCGGGTGCAGCATCCTGGGAGCACATTGAGGCTGTGCGGTGAGTGAATGCGGCTGCCAGTCCTTCGGGCTTCGTGGGATGGGGGTGGGGGTTAGACCCAGCTCCACACCTCAGGGTACTCAGCACACTTGGCCCCCTGCCAAGATAAGAGTTTTGGGGCTGGTCCCAGTCTCCTGGGCCTGGGCCCTGTTGTGGGTCGCGTGCAGGGACAGGCGCTTCTCTCCTGGCAGGAAGGCTGTGGCCATCCCTGTGTTTGCCAACGGGAACATCCAGTGCCTGCAGGACGTGGAGCGTTGCATCCAGGCCACGGGCGTGCAGGGGGTCATGAGTGCAGGTGAGCTGGGGCTGTCCACGTGCCCATGCCCCCAGCTAGGGGGCCAGCCAGTCCTCTCACGGTCTTCCCTGCAGTGCTGTCCCACCTGCTGTGCTGGGCTTGAGCGCTCAGGCCAGGCCTCCCAGGCTGCCTTCCAGCAGCTAGCCCACGAGTGGGTAGCCACCTTGTCTCTGATGTGAGGTGGCACAGGACGGTGTCCCAGTGCCCTAGGCTTTCCTCCGTCATCCACTGGGCATTGGCCTCATGAGGCCTTCCTTTCCTCATCTTCCCAGAGGGCATCCTGCACAACCCTGCCCTGTTCGAGGGCCGGAGCCCTGCTGTGTGGGAGCTGGCCGAGGAGTACCTAGACATCGTGCGCCAGCACCCCTGCCCGCTGTCCTGTGTCCGCGCCCATCTCTTCAAGCTGTGGCACCACACGTGAGTTGGCCCAAGGCAGGAGCTGTGTCGGGTAGGTGCCAGAGTCCTGCCTGTGGCGTCTGGGGGTTTACCATAGCAATTTCCCACCAAGTCAAGTCCTGAGGGCTGGTGACTTGGAAGTGAAGTTGGACGGGAGGCCCGGTGGGAAGAGACCCAGGCCCTTTGTGCCCAGTGCACATGATGGGGTGTCTGTCTCAGGCTGCAGGTGCATCAGCAGCTTCGAGAGGAACTCGCCAAAGCCAAGACCCTGGAGGGCATCGCTGCTGTGAGCCAGGAGCTGAAGCTGCGGTGCCAGGCAGGCATTGGGGCTGCGGGAGACCAACGGTGGTGGGGGCCAGGGGCCTGAGCTGTGAGCTGTGAGCTGTGACCAGGGCCCTTGGGCTTTTGCAGGAGGAAATGGCCCAGCAGGAGGGAGAGAAGCCAGCTGGTGGCTTGCCATTCTTCCACTGGATCTGTCAGCCCTATGTGCGGCCAGGGTGAGCTCCCCCACCAGTCTGTGGGCAGGGGTGCACATGACGGGGGGCCACCTGCCCTGTGCCTGTCTCCCCCAAACCCCGCCATGAGGTCAGTCAGTGTCTGCTCTTGAGACAGGAGAGAGTGAGGGAGCCCATCTGTGGGCAGGGGTGCACATGACGGGGGGCCACCTGCCCTGTGCCTGTCTCCCCCAAACCCTGCCATGAGGTCAGTCAGTGTCTGCTCTTGAGACAGGAGAGAGTGAGGGAGCCCGGCCTGCTCTCTGTGTCCTGGTGGAGGTGCTGGAGTTTTAGCTCTGTCCTTCCCTGTCACTGGACACTTAGATCTTAAGTCTTTACTCCCATAAGACACTTCTCCAAATTCTTCTGATCCTGAGTGGACTTGTCCCTGGGGTCAGGAAGTGAGGTGGAGCTGTCATCTCCGGCCACAACCTGTCCAGGGCTCAGTGGCTCAGATCCTGGGCCCCTGACATGCAGACACCGTCCCAGGGGGACCCAACCTATGCCAGCCACTCATTCCACTGTGCAGCCCTGTGCAGACCCAGTCCATCTGGCCAGCCAGACAGCAGAGCTGCTTGGGGCATGGGGAGCTACATGCCACTGCACCAGCACCTGTCACTGCCCCTCCTGCCCCCTGTGGCTGTGCCTGGCATCTGCCTCTCCCAGGTATCCTTCAGTCCTGCCCGCTGCCCTCCCCCTAGGCCCAGGGAGGGGAGCAAGGAGAACGGCAGTGCCCGCAGCAAGCGAGCCCTAGAGGAGGAGGAGGGCGGCGCAGATGTCCTATCCAAGAACAAGCAGAAGAAGCAGCTGAGGAACCCCCACAAGACCTTCGACCCCTCTCTGAAACGTGAGCGCTGCTCCCACCACTGGGCCTGGGGGAGGCAGGCAAAGGCCAGCCTGGGTGGCTCTTCCTCACCCTTGTCTTTCACATGGCAGAAACCCGGGTCCAAAGCCAGAGACACACCGTGGAGGGCCTGCCTGGGGCACTTGGGGTATGGTTAGGCCAGACATCAGTGTTGTGTGGTGAAACCCTGTGCAGGGGGACATCTACTTACAGCGAGTTAGGTGAGGCCATGGGACAAGCTCTTCAGCCAGGCGCTTCCAGAGTTGCCACCAAGGGTGTTGTCTGCAGGGCCCCAGTCCACTGAGGCTGTCCCTGCCCAGCAGAGCCCTTGGCATGCCCTGGCCTCTTGCAGACAGCCCAGCAGCCTCTGAGCAGGAGGCCGAGAGCCTGCAGAGAGGGTTGGGGCTGTGCTGCTGGGCTGGAAGCTGCATCTTTGGACAAAATTAGACGGGATGAGGCTGCTTGTTCCTCTCCAAAAGTCCAGAAATGTGTTCACTCAGGACTTGTCAGACACAGCCTCGTAGTCGGGCTGCAAGGTCTCAGCCCAGTGCCATCCGTGTTTGTCTCTCCTAAGACTGCTGGACCAGCCCACCTGGGCTCTCAGCCCTGACTGCCTCCCAGACCCCATCAGGTCTGCCAACTGCTCTGCAAATCAGAGCAGCAGGGAGGGCCCCGGAATCTTCCCACATCCCCCCCTCCAGGGGCTGGCGGGACTGCAGTTGCTGGCTACCTCGCACCCTCAGCCACCTCCTTGAGGCAGCAGAGAGGCAGGAAAACAGGGCTTTGGGCCGAGTTGCTGATCTCACCCTTCCTGGCTCTTTTGCTGTGGGAAACGGGCAGTGAAGGGTGTCAAATCTCCCCAGCCTGCCAGTGGGTGGAATGCCACTCCCTGTCTTCATCTGGGGGTGGGATGGGGCAGATCTTCCCGCCAGGGCTCCCTGCCCCTTGCTTTGTGTTTGTTTCTGCAGAACCTGTGCTCACTGTGTCCTGCTGCCCACCACTTGTCCAAAGGGAAAAGTGGACATGGCCAGCCTTGTCCTCTGCCCCCTAGCCTGGCTGCCCATTGCCAATAGGGACACCTGTTAGTGGGCTTCGTGAAGGCAGACAGGGTGGCCGGTGGCCATCCCAGCCCAGAGTGGGCTTCCCTCCTCAATCAGCATCTTTTTGTTCTTTTCCTAGCAAAATATGCAAAGTGTGACCAGTGTGGAAATCCAAAGGTGAGCCAGTTCGGTTGGCCATGTGCTGCCCAGACCTCAGCTCAAGTGGATGGGAGGGTCCCCACTGACGCTGTCTCAGAGTGGTTCAAGGTGGGGTGGGTGCTCCTGTGAACAGCCCCCTTGCCTTCTGTCCAGTCCTCCTGGGGAAGAAATGGCTTTTGTCACCCCCTGCCAAGACCTGGAGTGGGGATGACCGTGAGTGGACAAGTGGCTTGGGGGCTGTGCTCTCCCTGTGCTATGGTCCCTGGGCTGTGTCCAGGCCATGGGGTACCCAGCAGGGGCTTGCAGATGGCCAGGGCTATTCCCGCCTGGCCCTGGGGAAGGCGTAAAATCTCACTGGCTTTCCTGTGCCCAGGGCAACAGGTGCGTGTTCAACCTGTGCCGTGGCTGCTGCAAAAAGCGAGCCTTCAGAGAGACGGCGGACTGCCCAGGTGAGGGCACCTGCCGCCAGCAGCCATCTGCCCGGTAAGTAGTGGGCCCTTGGCTCCCTGATCCCATTTTATTTTCCCTCTCACCCCCTCTGTCAGGTCATGGATTGCTTTTTAAAACCAAATTGGAGAAGTCTCTGGCCTGGAAAGGGGCCCAGTCCGAGCTGCAGGAGTCTCAGCACACAAGGCCTGGGGCACCAGGTGGCATCTCTGAAGTTGTGGGCAGTGCTCTGGCCTAAAGGGCTGGCAGCACTCCTGCCCAGGACTGCTGCTGAAGCCTGGACCCGTCTTTCTTACTTAAGGAAATGCCTTTTACTCAGGGAATCTCCTGCTATTGACCAGGGAAGGACGTGCCAGTGTCCTCCTGCTGGCCCACACTGGGGGCCTGGAAATGCTGCACCGGGGAGCAGGCCCCAGGCTGGACCTGCCCTGTTCTCACAACTCATGTTTTCAAAAGTGAACAATAAATCATTTCGAAGATGCAGTGCAGAGAGCTGGCAGTTTGTGGCACCCCCAGGGCCAAGGAAGCCCCTGAGCTGGGAGGGCACAGTCAAGGCCAGGGAAGACTTCAAACGAAGGGGAGATGTCTCTGCATGAAGGCAGCTGAGGTGTCTACAGAGGGAAGCTGGGGTTTAGGTCCCCTCCCTGCCCACCCCCATGGCCAAGCCAGAGCCTCCAGGGGGCTTCCTGAAGTACAGGAGAGACCTGAAGCACGGACCAGGCCCTGCCCCTCAGAAACCCCAGGCGGCCCAGCAGGGCCAGAGCCTCTGGCAGCAGGAAGGCACAGAGCCAAACACAACTGCAGTCTGCTTTTAATGCAGTGTGACGTCACCACCTCGCCTGTAGCCCACACGACACACGGGGGAGGGTTTGGGAGATGCTGCGCAGTACACTCCTAGGGACAGAAACCCGAGGGGTCGAGCCCTGCAGGCCCTCCTTCCAGACGGGCCGAGGGGCTGGCATCCCCGGCCAGGCCCTCAGATGGCTGCAGACGTCACCACCTCGCCTGTAGCCCACACGACACACGGGGGAGGGTTTGGGAGATGCTGCGCAGTCCACTCCTGGGGACAGAAACCCGAGGGGTTGAGCCCTGCAGGCCCTCCTTCCAGACGGGCCGAGGGGCTGGCATCCCCGGCCAGGCCCTCAGATGGCTGCAGATAGCACTCAGCCTCCTCTCTGAAGGTAAGCAGGCAGGGCCAGGAGCCGAGTCCGCAGGGATGAGGAAGGGGTGTACAGACCGTTCTGGAGCCGGCAGGCTGCCTCTCACATGTTGGTGCTCATCCGGGACTGGCTGTTGGCCGGAGTCAGCTCCCCCTGGCTTCCTTCTCTGGGAGGGGACTGTGATGGAGACAGGTGGCTCAGCCTGGGGGCTGCGAGGTGCTGGCCCACCCCTGGCACCCCCCAGGTCACTCACCTTGACGTGGATCTGGTTGCGCAGCACAGCCGCCCTCAGGATCATGGCCTTGGCGCGGCGCTGGAACTCCTTGCCCATCAGCAGGGACTTCTCAAAGGTGGTGCTGCGCTGGTCCACATCCCGGGCGTACAGGACCTGTGCAGGCACAGGCTCAGCAGGGCCCAGTGGGACCACCCGGGCCCACCAGCTGTTCCCACCTGCCCTGCAGCCCCCAGCCACCTTGCTGTGTGAGTCAATGCGGGCATTAATGAGCCCCTCCAGGATGAGCTGCGTCAGCTCATCTTCCAGAGCTGCCACCGTGGTGTTGAAGGCCATGGCCATCTTGTGCATGTCAGCAGACACATAGGGGCTGAAGTACTGCAAAGCAGAGGGGCCGTCAGCCCTGCAGTGGCTGCACGTGTCTGCTGTGCCCCGCCCGGCCTATCCCTGCGCTACCTGGATAAGGGCGCGGTTGCGGATCTGGGCATACAAAGTCCTGACGTGGGGGGCCAGGTACATGTCCAGGAGCAGGTTATCCTACAGAGGAGGGCTGGTCAGGGGCTGGCCGCTGTGGCCCTGGTTCCTGCTAGAAGCAGGGGACCAGCCCACCCCCAGGCCAAGCCCCTCACCTTCATCTCGTCCAGCATCTTCAGGCATGAGGCATACTTGGACTCGTAGAACTTGAAAATGATGTCTCGAATCTGTGGTTCCAGCTCCAAGAACAACTTGAAGGAGCTGCAGATGCCAGACTGCTCAGAGCCCACCCCCTCCTGCCCCCGCCCCAAAGGTGCCAGCGGAACACCAGTGTCTGGCACACACCTGGGCGAGCAGAGCAAGGTGATATAGGGACAAGCGGGGCCAGAGTAAAGGCCCAGAAAGAGGGATGGAGGGGCTGCCCCTCGGGACTACAGGGCCAACACCCCCACCCTGTACCCACCTGCTGGAGATGACATTGCGCTGCAGCTCCTGCCGGTCAAAGGTGGCCAGGGCGCACAAGCCACCATAGACGGCCACGTTGCTGGGGGAAAGCAGCTGAAGGGCAAAAAGGAAGGGGCTCCAGAGACCTGGGATCTCTGGAGGTCCCCAACAAAGACAGGCCTCCCACCTGCCCAGGCGGTCCCCTCACCTCTGGGAAGTCGCAGTGATCAAAGGAAGCCAGCAGGAAGCACTTGGCGGCCTGCTTGTACTTGCGGGCGGCCAGCTCAGCCAAGCCTGTGAGGACAGAGGACAGGATGAAGCCCGGCTGCCTGGAGGAGACCGCAGAGCCTCTGAGGCCAGGCAGGACATGACCATCAGCGGGCCCCCTGGCCTCTCGTGCCCAGGTGCTACTCCTTAGCAGCAGGGACAGACTCTAGCCATCAGGCCCCATGAACCCTGAGCATGCTCCCTGAAGTTAGGCACCAGGGAAGCCTTAAACAGTGGGTATCATGATTGCAAAGGACACCCAGCCTCAGAGAAGCCAATGACCTGCGCCGGGCCACACACTTGACTAATGGGGCACACGCTGTGAGGGCACTGTGTTGGAAAATGACACTGTGCTGACCATGGGTCACTTGCTGGCCCTCCCATGGTGGAATTGAGCAGGCATTTCCCACAACCCTGGATTTGGGGCACGTTTACCCAGCAATGCCCTGCAGCCTGCCAGGGTCCCTTTCCCTAACCCTAATGCAGGGATGGTCCTACTTCCCTGGGTTGTGAGAACAATAAGGGGCGCATGGGGGGTTGGCTGGTGAGCCCTGCCCAGGCACCCAGACCCTCACCTGCAGCACACTTGAGCTTGGTGAGGATGGCCTGTGTCTGGCTGTCCCGCTCCCCACGCTGCTGCAAAGGAAAGACCACGCACATGAGATACCAAGGCCTCCCATGACCTTACTGTTCCCTGGAACTCAACACCCAGTCCCTGGCCCCCAGCCTGAGGGAACAAAGGCAGACTCAGGGGAGAAGATGGGGATGGGGGCGCATCAGAGGGGCCAGCAGTGGTCAGGGCTCCTGGGCAGAGTCTTAGAGGAGGTGGGCCATACCTCGGCTATCTCAGGAGTAGACTCGGCCTTGCTGACGTAGCTCAGCACGTGAGACCAATTCTGCAAGTAGACGCTGACCTGGGGGATGAGTGGACAGAGCCAGACTAAGCCTGGGTGCCACTTCCTGGCCCAGGGCTGTCCCGGCACCCCCATGCCCACCACAGGGCTCACCTTGATGACGTTCAGGCACATGTTGATGACGTGCTTGGCGCTGGTGCAGTAGTCTCGGGCCCGGGAATAACACTTGAGGGCGTTGCTAAGGTCCCCACAGTCAAGGTAGTGGTCACCCAGGTCATCATGGCCGCGCCTGTGAGTCTGACCGTGAGTGGACACCACTCGAGGCCCTCTAGGCCCAGCCACCCGCCTCCCCTGCCCCGGGCGGGCGGCACCTGATGCTCTCCTTGATGGAGTTGCCCTTGTAGTTCTTCAGGTCTGTGTCCAGCTTCTCCAGCTTCAGCAGGGCCTTCTTCCGAGTGGCCTCCACCCAGGCCGTGTCCAGGGGTGGCGGTTCCACACCACTCTCAGGGATAGCATCAGGAGCATTCTGCAGCTCCCTGGGGAGGACCTGGCCATCAGTATGGTGACGGTCACGGGGCCAGAGAGGTGGGAAAGGGAGTCGCCAGCCACAGATTGGACCTCAGAGACGGATCTGCAGGCAGGTTCCCAACTCCCACCTTGAGGGACCCAGTCTGCAACAGGGCAGAGATGATTGCTGACCATGGGAGCCCACAACAGTGGGCAAGCCCAACGGGGGAGAGGCTGCCCAGTGCAGCCTGTGAGGAGAGGAACAAGTCTCATCTCCACCAGCTCCTCCCTAGTCAGAACAACTGAACGTGGACACGTGCAGGGAGAAGCCTGGAGACATGCAGGGGACGTTCGTTCCCCTCGCCAGGGAAAGAAGAGCACAGGTGTTGTTGCCATATACTACCCGTTGCGACTTATCAACACAGAGGTGTGTTCCCTGCACTTCTTGCATGGCAACCTCACCATGTAGTGGCAGTGCCAGACCAGAGGAGGGGGCCCCGAGGGGACACACCACACTCAGCCCCAGGTGCCTGCTCCCAGCACGGCCTCTACCTCCTCTTGCCAAGCTCCTGGCCTCACCTGGTGGCCTCTGAAAGCTTCCGGTGGATCTCCTCATACATGTCCACATTAAAGGTTCTCTGCACAAAGGAGAGCGCCATCTTCAGGGCCTCCACCCGCAGTGGGGGGCAATGATCAGCAATGAACTGCAGCCGCTCGATGCGCATGAGGCCGCTGTAGCTGGCTGCGTACTGCTCCAGATCCTGGAGGTGGGCATGCGGGGGGGAGACAAGAAGGTCAGGCAGGGTGTGCAAGGCAGGACCCCACAGTCCCAGCCCTGGCCATGAGTGAGGAGCAGGGGACTGTCCTGGCCAGAATGCTTCGCCCATGCCAGGAGGCCCTGAGCCCATACCAGGAACTCGGTATCTGGGCATGGGGGTGTGAGACCCCACGCTGTCCCACATGCTAAGGAGAGACCACTGGGGTGGGCTGGGGACAGCCTCCAGAGCAGAGCCCCACAGTGAACAGTGTGAGGGCTGGGGACGCACTACTGAGTGCTGGTCACTGGGCTGAGCAGGAAGAAGACAGCATTTAACAGGTGAACCCCTAAAAAGACCCACCCTCGCTGTGAGACTCAACAGGCAGGGCCCCTCCACGTGGGTGCAGGGTCTCCAGCTGAACATAAGACCCAACATAAGTGGTCAGTTAAAAGCCCTGAGGATTTCTGGGTCAAAGAAAGACGCAAGGGGCTGGCCCGTGGCTCACTCGGGAGAGTGCAGTGCTGATAACACCAAGGCCACGGGTTCGGATCCCATATAGGGATGGCTGGTTCGCTCACTGGCTGAGTGTGGTGCTGACAACACCAAGTCAAGGGTTAAGATCCCCTTACCGGTCATCTTTTAAAAAAAAAAGAAAGACGCAAGCAGGGAGACCCATGAGAAGGATCAATCTATCTCCTGTGTGGGCCGCAGTGGAGTCTGGCTTGGACCCCACAAGGTCCCCCGCTACTGGGCTCCATACCAGGGTGGGGTTCTCCACCACGTAGTTGACATCGGGTGCATTCTGTGGGTCCTCCTGGGGGTCCACGTCAATCTGCATGGGCTCCACGGCCCCCTGCAACATGGGCGAGGCACCTTGAGCCATGGACTGCCCAAGAAGGACAAGAGACCCTCACTGTCCTCCGTGGTCAGCTCTGCCCGAGATCTTCCAAGGCACAATCGGACTACACTCCCGCTGGTGCTGCCCCCAAGTGTGTCCTCTCCAGCCCCTCCCCACTCTCACCCAGGCTCTGGTGCCGCCACTCAGGGAGGGGGCTCCTGGCGAGACTAGCGTCTCAAGAACAGACACCCTCACCCGACTGTAACCGCCCATCTCTGAGGCCGGAAGGCAGACACAGGGAGGACCAATTAACAGAGACCCCCGAGGGCCTCCACACGTTCCCAGCCACCGTCCTGAGGCAGTTTCCTCCAAGCCACAGAGAAGAAATGGACACCACCTTAAACCCAGGAGGCAGGAGGACGAGCCCTTGCAGCCTGCACTGAGCAGCAAGACTGGGGTGAGAGTCACGCCTCGGGGTGGGAGAAGGGGACAGGAGTCATCTCGGGGAGTCCCGCGGCCCCCCGCTGGGAGGCACAGAGGGGCCAGGACCCCACCACCTTGACAAAGCGAGCTGCACAAGGCCCGCCCGCCCGACCGGCAGGAGCGGGACCGGCCTGCGCTCTCCTTCGCTCAGGCGCAAAAAGCGCGGCTCCGGGCCGGCGGGAGCACCTCCCTCCCGCGCCGGGCGCTGAGTTCCTGTCGTCGCGGGCCAGCAGAGGACCCTGCGCCGGGAGGTACCTCGTGCAGCAGCGAACAGGCCGACAGACTGGCGCTCAGGCTGGAGTCCCCGGCCGTGCCCGGCAGGACGAGGGCTGCCCTACCGCCGCGAAGCGCGCGGCCCAGATCTGTCACTGACGAGGCGGCCGCGCCGGGGGCCGCGCCACCCTTCATCCTGTGCTGACTCTCTGCACCCCCCGACCCTGACACAGAGCTGGCTGGCTGCCGAGGGAGAAAGAGCGTTAGCGCGGCACGGCCGGCTGCCTGTGCCGGGAGCACGGTACATCGCTCCATTGATTCAACCTTTGATTTCTTTCATCAGTGCTTCGTGGTTTTCAACACATAAATCTTACACATACTTTGTTAGATTTTTTCAAATTTTTGTTGCTATCATAAATGATACTTTTTTTTCCCGTTTCTAGTTGTGCATTGTTGTCATATAGACACGCGGTTGATCTTTGGTTGTTGTGTATTGACCTGAGCTCAGGTTGTTTTGGTTCCACATCCAGCCCCCCTCTCAACCTTGCCCTCCTGGCTGTCTCCTTGGCAGCAACAGCAAGGTCTGGGAACTGGGTTACTGGGCCATCATCCTCCCGCAGGGCCGGGACACCCACCCGGCCAGCCCGCGCTGCGTCCCGACCCCGCCACGGGCCGGCCTCCCAGGGCCTGAGGCCAGCGCCACGTCCCCTGAAGAAGCTCCAGCAGGGAACGGGCTGGTCAGGGCCCTGCGTGTCCGGTCTGTTTCCACTCTTGGGCTTCCCGGTCGTCATCCCTGCTTCAACCTTGGAGGTCAGCAGCAGGATCCCCCGAGTGAGGGCCGAGCTGGGGCTGCGCTCAGACCCCTGCAGGGTGGCCAGGCCCGCAAGACAGCCACGGTCTGCCCTGGACCTCAGCGGGCAGGCTGGGTGTGGACCCTCACTTATCCCCAACCCCCAGGTGACCATGTCATTAACACCAACTGCTCGGCCGTGCGCACCCGCCAGGCGCTCTGCTGCAAGATGTCAGTGGAGTATGACAAGTTCATCGAGTCTGGGCGCAAGTACGCTGTCCCTTCGGAGAGCCCAGGGAGAGCTGGGGCGGGGCCTCCCACCAGCATCCCATGCCCTGTGCACAGCATTCTCCCCTTCTGCAGGTGGTTCTGCCACGTGGATGATGACAATTACGTGAATCCCGAAGGCTTGCTGCATCTACTGTCTGCCTTTTCACCCAGCCAAGACATCTACTTGGGGCGGCCTAGCCTGGACCACCCCATCGAGGCCACCGAGAGGGTCCAGGGAGGCGGAACTGTGAGTACAGGGTAGACCTCTGCCCCGATGCCAGGCCTGGGAGGCGCAGCTGGTAGCTTGGAAAGCAGGCAGGAAAAGGCATGGAACTTGAGGCAGCACTGCACTGACCTACCCAGGCAGCTCGGATGTGGTGGTTCAGGAGCAGGCAAGACGTGCGTGGAATTGGGCGAGCCAGGAGGGGTCTGGAGGCCACAGGCGACTGGCTTGCAGGTGCCCCGGCCCCTGGTGCCCTGGGAAGTCTCTGTTGCCTGGGCGGGATCTCCTAAGGGGCAGATTAAGGATGACTGTCAGGGAGTCGGATGAACAGTCAGGTGAGGAGCCCTATCCTGGGAAGCCCTGATTGGGACTCTTCTGTCTCCAGGTGACCAGAGTCAAATTCTGGTTTGCTACCGGGGGGGCTGGGTTCTGCCTCAGCAGAGGCCTTGCCCTCAAGATGAGCCCGTGGGCCAGGTGAGTGGGGCCCAGCTGCCCAGGCTGGGAGGCCAGGGGGCTGGGGGCAGAAGAGGCACTGACCACCTGCCCCTGTAGCCTGGGCAGCTTCATGAGCACAGCTGAGAGAGTGCGGCTGCCCGATGACTGCACAGTGGGCTACATCGTGGAGGGGCTGTTGGGCGCCCGCCTGCTACACAGCTCCCTCTTCCACTCCCACCTGGAGAACCTGCAGAGACTGCCACCTGACACGGTGCTCCAGCAGGTACACGGCAGCCCCCGGGTCTTGCCTCACCCGCACTCCTCCAGGGTGGTCTCCCAGCTGAGTGAGGGCATGGGGGTGGGGGGGACTCAGGGTTGGGATTTGTACGTGGCTGGGGTGGACCTTGAAAGATCCTTTTGCCTGATGGACACAGGTCCTTAAGTGCAGGTGGTGACACCAAGTCTCATTGGGGTAGGGGGGTGGGGGGGTTCATGGTAAAGGGCAGATCTCGGGTCTTCCCAAGGCTCAGGGGCTCAGAGGCAGCTGGGCAGTGGTGAGAGACATGGAGCAGGTCCCAGGAAGGTTCCAGACTCCTTGCCCTGCCCCACAGGCCCCTCCCGAGTTGTCCTGCTGCCTCTTGACTCGCATCATCTTTCAGTGCCGTTCCCCAAACCTGGCCCAGAGCAAACGGGGGAGGCGGGTGGGTGCAGGGCCTCTCCAGCACGGAGACTCCTGAGGCAGGAAGAGGGTACGGAGGAAGAGCTGGCCCTGAGGGACAGCGGCCCCCACCTTCTGTCCTCCCCCTCCCCCTTGCAGGTCACCTTGAGCTATGGGGGTCCTGAGAACCCACGTAATGTGGTGAACGTGGCCGGAGGCTTCAGCCTGCAGCAGGACCCCACGCGGTGAGTGAGCAGCAGTGGGGGTGGGCTGTCAGCCCCACAGGAGCTCCGGTGCCAGCCTGCCCCACCCGCAACCCTGACCCAGGCTTCCTCTTTTTCCAGGTTTAAGTCTGTCCACTGCCTTCTCTACCCCAACACGGACTGGTGTCCTGTGCAGAAGCGGGGATGACCTCACCTCTTGGTGAACACGGCCTGTGACCTGGGGCAGCAACCCTGACCCAGGCTTCCTCTTTTTCCAGGTTTAAGTCTGTCCACTGCCTTCTCTACCCCGACACGGACTGGTGTCCTGTGCAGAAGCGGGGATGACCTCACCTCTTGGTGAACACAGCCTGTGACCTGGGGCAGGCTCTGGCTCTGCACCTGTCCCAGGGGCGGGGAGCAGCGTCAGTGCCTCACGTGGCTCCCTCAGGCCACTAAGGCCACCGCTACCATCACCACCACCTCCAGTGAGATGCGGGTACCCGGCAGACACTCAGCTGGCCTGCAGGCCCCCGGAACATCCTCTTGGTGGGCCTGGACGACCAGGTGTTTAGAGATAGCGAGGATGGCCAGGCTCTGAATTTTGGATCACTCCAGGGAAGACAGGAAGGGCTGGTGCTACAGAGGGGCCCTTGACGCCCTTTCTCCCAGCCGGGCCCCAGAAGGTTGCTCCACAAGAAGAGGTCTCCACCCTCACGTCTGCATGCCCGGGAGGGAGCCGCCCTCCTTACCGTGCTGGAGACGAGGTGCTGGGCAGGCCTGGGTTCTGCCTGTGATCTTTCAGGCCCAACTGGGGGCTGTTGCAAGGGCTTTGCCCAGCAGGTATCCTGGGGAACGCCACCTTCCCCACCGCAGTCAAGCTGGGTGCTGCGGGCACAGCTGTGTCCCTAGACCAGGCGCTCCATAGGAGGCCTCCAAACTGGGGGCCTTGAAAACCCCTCTCCACCTTGACTCGGTGTTCAGGACTTTCCACTCTGAGCCTCGCTTTCCCCTCCACCAGGTCCATAAAACAGCAGGAGCTTTTTGTTTGGGCCCTCCGCAGGACTGAGACCACCCTCTGGGCCCCACCTGGCCCTGACTGATGCCTTCCGTGTGGGGAACGGAATGGGGGAGCCGACCCCTTCTCTCTGCCCCTTGCCGTGCTACTGCAGTCAGCCAGTAAAGACTTCCCAGTTTCTGTGTTTCGCTGTGTCCTGATCTACCACCTGAGCTCAGCTCTCACAGACCCACACGGCATCCTGCTCCTCTCCCGACAGGATCCACCCAGAGACATTCCGCATCCCAGGCGGGTCTATATTATTTGCAGCCAGGCCCACCGAGCCTTAGACCCGCCAGTCTTTTCTGTGAGCCAAAGCATGTGGCAAGGGCTGGCGGGGCAGTGTTTCCTGTCCCAAATGTTGTCCGGAAAGTGCTGAGTGCTGTGTTTGCTTCCTTAGCATGCTGTGGCACAGCTAGATGTGTGTGTCCATGGCTGTGTGCATGGCTGCTGTATATGTAGCTATGATGGGTACACAAGCATACGTGTGTGTGCGTGGTTGTGCATGTGTATGTGGCTGTGTAGACGTGTACACATCTGCAGGCATGTATGGCATGTATGCATGTGCATGGGTGTGTGCAGGTGTCTCTAGGGGCAGGGGGCAGTACACTCATACCCAGGTTGGAGGTCGTGAGGGCTGGCTTCTGTGATTCGTGCACAGCCAGGAGTAAGACACACCCCAGAGACATTCAGGTCAGGCACTACGGGTTTTGGGGGCCTGGAGCTGCCACAGCCCAGCGCTGCAGGCTGTGGCTGAAAGAGGAGTCCTGGGGCCTAGAGCAAGCGTAAGGGCTGGTGAACTTCGGCAAGGCTGAATCTTCGTTTCAGCGACAGAGATGACAGAAGACAGTATTCTTGATGTGTGCAGCAGTTTGTTCAGTGGCCATCAAGTTCCATGAGAGCAGATGTCACCAGCGCTGCCCTGTCACTGTCTGTGTCTGTGTCTGCCGAGATGTGTCACCATCTGTATCATGACCGAGATGCCTTGGCCCTCGCGGAGGGTCGTGTGGTTTGCTCAGTTCATGCCAGATGTGGGGTTTCAGGCCTTAGGACTTCCCTCCTTCCTGAGCCTGGGCTGTGTCTGTCCCCTTGCTCAAGCTCCGCCCAGGAACATAATGTCCTTAGATTGCAGGAAATGAGAACGTGTTTACTCCATTGGAAAGGGGGTCTGGGGGTGGATTCCTATGAGTGGGTTATTACCCAAACCATGCGAGTGGTTTCGTGAATCTTCTTTATGGCCAGAAGCTTTCCATAAATTGAGTTCAGCTTGCGGGCCGTGGGAACGCAGCGCTGCATCTGCGCCGCCTCTGCCCCAGGGGGGACAGTCTGGGGTGGGGCCGCACTGCAGGAGCAGGAGTGGAGCCCAGAGATGGGCAGATGGGTACCAGGGAGCCGCCATGGTGGGAGCAACCAGCAGGGGTCTCCAGGAGGGCTCTGTATGCCCCCAAGGCAGCAGTGTAGCCACCGGCCCAGGTCAGGTGGGGAGGGGTGTTGTGGCAGGTTATGAGAAAGTGTCCATGCTCAATGGCCACCTCCCCACACATTCCCAGATACAGACTGTTTGGTGGCCTCTGAGACCCCGATACTAGCTGACACCCCAGACCCTCCCCCTCCTGTCATCCTGCCTCTTTCATTCATGGAGCACCCAGGGGAGGGTCGGACGGGGCCAAGTGGGTGGGGTGGGTGGGGCCGGCTGGCACCACGGGGCTCCTACCAGGGCAACTGTCCCCTGGTTCCACAGAGAGCAAAGTCTGGAAGGAGGTACACCAAAAGTTTTATCAATAGTTGTCTCTGAAAAATGAGAAAATCAGTAAAAGGTTTTTTTTTTTTCCACTTTCTTGTTTTTACAAATTACCTATAATGGACATATAGTAGATGAATGTAATCAGAAAATATTAAAATGTTATTAACCAAAGTTAAAAATTTAGTTGTGTGCACTTGGACCTCCCGTTTTCTGGGTGAGGATATACCAAGCATCAGTAGACCTTGGTGTGGTTGCCTGCCAGGCTCCCTGCAGGGCTGGTGGAGTGACATCCGAAGCACAGAGTGGGGAGAGATTTGCTGAGAGAGGACAAGGTGGCACTGTGCTCCCTCAGAGGCAGCGGGATGGGGACGGCAGGGGGCAGTGTAGGGCCAAGCAAGAGCTGTGCTCTGGCTGGGCAGACGGGCTGGCGTCCCGACTAGACCTATTGATGGGGCGGCCTCAGGCAAGCTACTTAAGCACTTCTGAACCTATTTTCTCTTTTGTAAAATAAAGAAAATAGAACCTATTAGAATGAGTTGATTGTCACCCATGTAAGATGTTTCTCTGTGTATGTGTGTGTGCGCGTGTGTCCCCTGGGAGCAGTGGTTCAGTATTAGCTAATTCAATATTCAATGGTTGTTCAACTCTGTGAGTATAACAGAAACCACTGAACTGTACAACTTAGAGGTCAAGTGTTTGGATCCCTGTACCAGCCAGCCACCAAAAAGTAGATAAAAAATAAAATTGTCCACTTTTTTTTATTTGCTGGCTGGCTGGTACTAGGAACTGAACCCAGGGCCTTGGGGTTATAAGGCTGTGCTCTAATCAACTGAGCTAACCAGCCAGCCCCAAACTGTCCGATTTTTGATATGTGAACGATATCTCAATAAAGGTGTTACTTAAAAAGTGAATCAAGGGCCGGCCCGGTGGCGCACTGCTACAGTGCGCTGCTTGGGAGCACGGTGCCACTCCCGCCAAGGGTTCGTAATAACTTCGTATAGCATACATTATACGAAGTTATACGACAGCATGAGCCCTGAGCGTCCTGACAATTTGGGGCCGGCCTGGTGGCGCACTGCTACAGTGCGCCGCTTGGGAGTGCGGCAGCACTCCCGCCAAGGGTTCGGATCCCACATACAGACCGGTTCCCGCTCACTGGCTGAGCGAGGTGCGGGCGCAACACCTAGGGTTGCGATCCCGTTGCCGGTCCCGGTCCGGTACGGGCGCGACACTGAGGGTTGCGATCTGTTGCCGGACACGAAAAAAGACAAAAGGGAAAAAAAAAAAAGTGAATCAAGATGAATACAAAATGGAATAGCCCAAGATTTATTACATAATTACAAAAACATTTTCACAAAGAAATCTCCAGGATCAGGTGGTTTTAGCAGTGAATTCTACCAAACATTCGGGGAAGGAAGAACATGAATATTGGTATTACTCAAACTCTTCCAGCAAATAAGTGAGAAAAGGGCACTTCCTGGCTCATGTTATGAGGCTAGAATAACACTTGTACCAAAATCAGAAAAAAAGCATTACAAAAAATTGACGAGCTGGATCTAAAATTTATATGGAAAAGCTAAAGGCATAGTATATATTAATCAACCTTGAAAAAGAACAAAGTTGAAGGACTTCCCCAGCCTGACGTCAAGACCTGTGATAAAGCAACATTAATGAGACAGTGTGGCACCTGTGTAAGAATCAGCAACTAGACCAATGAGCAGAGCAGGGAGCCCAGGTACAGACACACGTGTACTGTCACATAATTTCCAATAAAGTCACCAAAGCAATTCAAAAAAGGAAAAGAAAATCTTTTCAACAAATGGTGCTGAAAAACTGGATATCCATATGGCAACAATGAACCTTGATCCGTTGCTTTATAGTATACGCAAGAATCAATTTGGGATGATCCAATCCCTATCAAAATCTTAGTGACCTTTTTCTGCAGAAATGGGGAAATCTGAAATTTATACAGAAATCTCATATTGAATCTCAAGGGACCCCAAATAGCTAAAGCGATCTTGAAAAATAACAAAGTGGGAGGGGAGGACCCACACTTCATGGTTTCATAACTTATCACCAAGCTGTGGCAAACAGACAGTATGGCTCTGGCTACAGACACGTGGGCCAGCGGAGAATAGAGAGGCCAGATCACCCTCACATACCTGGTCAGATAATTTTTGACAAGGGTGCCAAGACCACCAAACGGGGAAAGGGTAGCCTTTTCAACAAATAGTGCTGGGAAATCTGGATTCCCACATAAAAGAATAAAGTTGGATCCCTACCTCACACCATATACAAAATGAAATAAAAATTGATCAAAGACAAACATAAGAACTGAAATTATAAAACTCTGAGGAGAAAATACATAGGGCAAAACCTCCACAACACTTGATCTGACACTGATTTCTTGGATATGACACCAACGGCACAAACAACAAAAGAAAAAAAATAGACAAAGCGAAGCTCATGTCAATTTTGATGCACAAAAGCTTTTGTGCATCAAAAGTCAATATCAACAGGCTGGCTGGTTAGCTCAATTGATTAGAGCATGGCGTTATAACATCAAGGTTAAGAATTCAGATCCCTGGGCCAAGCCTGTGGCGCACTCACGAGAGTGCGGTGCTGGGAGCACAGCGACGCTCCTGCTGCGGGTTCGGATCCATGGCCAGTGCGCTCACTGGCTGAGCGCGGTGCGGGTGACACCACACCAAGGGTTGCGATCCTCTTACCGGTCACGAAAAAGACAAAAAAAAAAAAAAAGAATTCAGATCCCTGTACAAGCCAGTCACAACAACAGAAAGACTTATCAACAGAGGAAAAAGGCAACCAACAGAATGGGAGAACACAGTTGCAGGTTACATATCTGATGAGAGACTGATATTTAGAATATATAGAGAACTCTCAAAACACAACAACAACAACAACAAAGCCTGATTCAAAAATGGGCAAAGGACTTGAACAGACATTTCTCCAAAGAAGACATACAAATGGCCAATTAGCAAATGAAAAATGCTCAACATCACTAATCGTTAGGGAAATGCAAATCAAAACCACAAGGAGACACCCACTAGGATGGCTACTATCAAAAAACAAAGCAACAAGTATTGGCAGAGATGTGAAGAAATTAAAACCCTTGTGCACTGTTGGTAAGAATGTAAAATGCCACTTCTATAGGAAATAGTTTGACAGCTCCTCAAAAAATAGGAAACAGAGTTACTATATGATCCAGCAATTCCATCTCTGGTATATACCCAGAAGAATCTAAATCAGGGACTTGAAGAGCTACTTGTACACTCATGTCCAGCATTTTTCACAATAGCCAAAAGGTGGAAGCAGCCCAATGTCCATTGAAAGGCAAGGGGGTAAACACAATGTGGTCCATCCATACAGTGGCATATTAGC